TTTGAATATCTTATTGAAGAATTTTTTCATAGAGAAGAAGAAAAGAAAATTCGAATAACACAAGATCCAGGTAGATGAAATCATTTTGTTTTTCTATGTCATGTTTCTTTTTTTTTCTTATAAGACAATATTTAAAGAAATTTCCTTATATTTTGAATAATTACATTGAGATTGTTGTACATTGTCGGAAAAATAAAATTCCATTAAATTATATCATGAAGCAGTCTCTTGAGGCAGACTTATTATTATTATTATTATTATTATTATTATTATTATTATTATTGCTTGTTCATGTGTAAGATTTCCATAAAATAATCATTGAAAAAAAAAGGATAAATCAATTCTTCTAGCTATATTTTTGCTTGTCACAATTTATTTAAATCTTTTTCATCTTTGGATGCTTTTTGTTATAAATTGATCTCGATTAAGATTTTTTAAGTGATGCGAATCCTTCGTGTATGTCAGTGTTTGATAATTATCACCGATATCTTTATATATATATATATGTTTAGTGATTATTTTCTATGATATCCATGCATGGTCCTTATACATATCTGTATGTCGGGTTGACGGGTTATGCGATGATTTGAGTCAAAGTTTTTTTTTGCTTTTTTTCAATCATCAAAAGAAACACACACATATATGTATTATATAGATGAGAGAAAAAGATCTAAATTTGAACATGCTGATTTATAAAAACAAAAATATGCATGTTGTCATTATCTATTATTATTGCTAGTTTTACTATATTTCTTTATATTTTTGTAATCTCCTGATCGTCGTCATATTGTATTCTGTTCGATTGGGTCTCTTCTTTAATCGTTTATTATTAATTTAATCTTTTTTTCGTGTGTGTGCGTGTGTGTGTATATCATTTGAATGTTGTTTCAATGTTGCCTGTTTGTGTGTGTGTCTATATTTTAGGTCATAGTAAATGTGGTGTATACGTTTGTAAATATGCCGATGTATGCATTCGACAAGCTAGTGTTCGACGAACATGGGAAGGAAGTATGACAATTAAAATGATTATTTTTAAGGTTTGTTTGAAAACTAAGTTAAATGTATTATATTTGAAATGTTATTATTATTTTGATATATTAGATTGTTGAAGGAAAACAAACAGCAGCTCTTGTTCGAAAAGGACCGAAATTACAACCTATATCACCTACACCTCAATTTACAAGTCACTCTTCAGTAATTACACCTAAAGAAACGGATGATTTGGAAAAACAATTTGATCAATCACAAGTAAAATTTAAATAATTTTTAGGAATTAATGTGATCTTTTTTTAAAATTCGTTTAGATATTTCTTTATGAGTTTGAAGGTCGAGAAACAGTTAAACGACCTCATCATTGTTTACCTTATGCTATTGTTAGTCTGATACAAGATGGTATGTGTATAAAATATTTAATACACTTATTTTTTCTAATTTAGTAACTTTTTTGTTAATTAAAGGAACACAATGGCCGACAAATTTTGATGATTTAGATACGGAGTCTGATGTATTAGAAACAGATACATTACGAGTCATTGCACAAACAGATGATCCATTATTACAAAATAAATTAAAAGAAAATATTGACTTAGCTGAAGCAGCTACACGTGCTTTGGAACATATTTATGAAGAAGAACCACCACCGCAACTACCCAACGTAGTAGAACCATCACATTCGCCAACAACAAATTCAGAAACACTATTAACAACCACAACAGCAATAATATCAGACAATACATCTGTTCCTGTAGTTAATGGAACAGGAGCAGCATCATCATCGACAATATCTAATGACAATCAATCAACAACATCACCATCTTCTTCAGTAGTAACAATAAATAGTGCTGAAGCTTCATTAAATTCTATAGTACCACCGCCACCACCATCTTCGGCAACAACAACAAATTCAACTACGAAAACACCAGCTACAGCTGTAGCAACTACAATACCATTAGCACATTCAGCAGCAGCTGTTCAAGCAGCTTATCGACAACAAACAAGTCTTTTAGGTGCACTTCCAAGTGCAGCTGCTCTACGAGCAACACAAGGTGCTGTTTACGCAACAACAAGTGGTCTTGCTAATGGTATTACTGGGCAAATATTTTATGGTGGTAAGAAGCGAATTTTATTTTAATAATTTTTTTTTTACTAATTTTTCTTTGCTTATTTTCAGGTGTTCCATTAGATGCCCTTCGTGGTTATCAAACAGCAAATTCTGGTGCTTCTCAATATGTATTTGCTACACATGCTGGTCAAACAATACAACAACCGGCACTCTATGCTGCTCAATTACAAGCTGTTGCTCAGCAACAACAAGCCGCTCAATTAGCTGCAGCAGCTCAACAACAGCAACAACAACAACAACAACAACAACAACAAAGTTTAATGAATAGTATCCCAGCTGGTTATATGCTTGTACGTACAGCTAATGGTGGCTATGCTTTACTTGCTCATTCATCAGCAGCTGCAGCAATGCAATCGCAAACACAAACATCACTTGGACAACAACAATATATTTCGTTTAATGCAGCTGGTCAACCTACAGCAGCTACAACACGACTTCCGGTAGGTATGGTTGGTGGACAGCCACAACAATTTGTTTATCAATATGCTGGACAGCAAAATACACAAGCAGCTCCAACACAATATATTCAATTATCAGCTAATTATGTACAACAGCAACAACAATTATCAACAAGTCCAATTATGCAAACGACAACATCAGCTGGTTCACAAGGTTTGTATACTTATTCGAATAAAAATTCCTTTAAAATATTAAATAATACTCTGTTTGTAGCTTATACAAGTCAACAACCAACTCAATATATCGGTGCACCACAACCAGCTAATATTAATAATAATACAAGTGGTTCTTCATCAAATCCTTCTTCGATTGTTTCATCATCAAATGTAGCAACATCAGCAGTAGCTCAATCACAGCCAACATCCACTCTAATATCACCACAAAAACAAAGTGCTGCATCAGCAACAGCTGCTGCTCTTCAACAACAACAACAATATCAACATTCTCAATATCCACAACAGCAACAACAACCGGCAACTAGCGCCCATGGTGCAAATGTTTATTATGCAGCAATAGCTCAAGCACAAGCTCAACTTACTGCACAAGTACAAGCACAGCAACAAGCTGCAGCTGTTGCAGCATATGCACAGCAACAACAACAACAGCAACAGCAGCAACAACAAATGAACTATATTTCTCAAGTAAGAAACAACATTCATTATCAACTGAAAAAAAGACACAAAAGTCAATGATTACTTTTATTTCTTTCGTTCTTTTCATTAGATGCAATATGGAGCTCAACAAGGTATTCCACAACAAATGTATTATACAACATCCGGTGGTCAAACAATATATCAAGCAGGTGGTCAAAATTATGTACTTGCTCAAGCAGCTCCAACAGCAACAACAACTACAACTGGAGCTCCAGCTATGTACTCTGCAGGTCCTGCATTACATAATGGTTCTACTCAACAACAAAATCAACAACATTCATCTCAATCTCAACAACAACAAATAGCTTATCAGATAGCGGCTGCAACTGGTCAATCGACAGCTGCAGCATATCAAATGCTTAATGCTGCATCAAATGCAAATGTTACTACTCAACAACAAACGACAGCAGGTGCCGGTGTTGTGGCTCAACAACCTGCCCAACTTGTGCAACGTCCAAGTGTATTACCACAAGTTCGACATCATCCATATAGAAACTAAAAATGAAAATTTCTTTTTTACTGGCTGGGCTTTTTCTCAATAATGTTTTTTCATCTGTTGGTTTATTTCGCTTTGTTTTCTTCTCTTGTTTATCACTATATTTGGTAACAGTAGAACCTTGTGCTTGATCAATTCCTATATCTGAGAATTTCACTTTCTTGTGTGTCACGTTTGTTTACTTTTGTTTTGTTTTGTTTTGGCCTCAATATATTCATTACACCTGTATATTAAAAAAAAATTATATTCAGCAGTTGTTCAATTTTATGTTTTGGTTTTGGTTGTATAAAAGACGAGAAAAAAAATAACAAAAGCAAATTACTATTATACAGGGTGTTCCAAAAGTTCGGACCAATAAAAATATTGAATATCTCCACCGCTCTTTCATCAAATGAGCTAATTTTTGCCTTGGTGGTGGAGGATTCTTTGAAGTTTTTTTTCATAAGAAAATCATGAATACATACTGCTTTGAACTATCACTTTTAACTTCAATATCGAAAGGTATCCATTTTCGACTTTTCAAAAAATGGTTTCGAGCGAGAATCCCCGGGATGATTAATTTTAAGCTGAAGCTTTGGCCAAAGCAAGGTCTCACTCAGAATAGATTCGGCACAACATTTCAGAATTTTCCGATCAAGTCTTTCCGAGATATGAATGTTTCAAATTTTGTACAATATCAATGGAAAAACGCCGAAATTTTGACAAGTTCATATCTTGGCAAGACTGTACCCAAAAATTCTGAAATTTTGTACAGAAGCGAGCCTGAGTGAGATCTCGCTTTGATCAAAGTTTCAGGTCAAAATTCGAAATTATAATTTTCTTTGAAAATTTGGGGTCATCGAAGAGATGATCCACTAAAAACTCCATAACTCAGTCAAAACTGTACAAGAGCATGAATTTTTTGGAGATCATTATAGTCCAGTGGTCCTCTAGCAATGGGAGAAATATTGTTTCAAAAGCTTTTAATCATTTCGGGAATTCTCGCTCGAAACCATTTTTTGAAAAGTCGAAAATGGATACATTTCGATATTGAAGTTAAAAGTGATAGTTCAAAGCAGTATGTATTCATGGTTTTCTTACGAAAAAAAAACTTCAAAGAATCCTCTACCACCAAGGCAAAAATTAGCTCATTTGATGAAAGAGCGGTGGAGATATTCAATATTCTTATTGGTCCGGACTTTTGGAACACCCTGTATATATATACACGAGTGTAATACATATGTTCTAATTAGATATATATATATATACATTTAATTAAAATTCTCTAGATATGAAAGGAGTTGAAGAAAGCATGAGTAAGAATAATAATGATGGAGATCTTGAATATTATCAAGCAAAACAAAATGCTGGACAAATACCTGTAAGCAAAAATGAAACAACGAAAACTTCGAAATCATCTTCACACGCTACGACATTACAATCAAAATCAGATGGTTACGTATCAATGAATGAATCATCAGAAAAACAAAAGGAATTTCAACGTTTTAAAGAGATAACATTTGCACAAAAAGCAAGTGAAAAAGCTAAACAAAATCCACTTATACCGTAATTAGATACTTGAATTTTTAAAACACAAAAACCTTCGAATTACTCTATAGTATTGGATTATTAACAACAGTAGCTGCTTTAACATTAGGTCTTCGTGCAGTGTCTCGTGGTGATAAATGGCAATCACAAATGATGATGCGGTGAGAAAGAGAAAAAATTAAATATTAATTTTATTCTTTTGTCTTTTTTTTTTTTATTTAGAGCTCGAATTGGGTATGTTTTATTTTTACTCATTTTCTTTACGTGATAAAACTTCGAAATAGAAATGTAATGGTAATGGTAATTAGCAGTCTTAGATAGAGCGCTACACACTCTAAATGCGCATGCACAGAATAATAGTGAACGCATGATAAAACTAGGATGATCTTAATTCATTTCGACTTTTTCGGTCGGTGAAGATTTATTTCAAGAAAAATAGTTGAATTTTACAAAACATGACTAAACAATGAGAACGAACGAGGGAACCACTCGAAGTGATTTTTTGTGTTTGAAATGGAATCTCTGTCATTAAGTAATGCCTATTGAGACGAGAGGATACCGAGAATGATTCTGTTATATGCACTGTCCTTTTGAAGTTACAGTCGTTACACTGGAATTTTTACCTTTAATATGGTATTTATAAAAAAAAACTAGATAAATGAATTTCGACCTAAAATTTTGTCTATAGATAGCTCTTGAAGTCATTAGAAACTTCTGAAAGTTTCAGGCTAAGAGAATGGTCACTTCTCGAATTATCGAATTTTCAAAAATAAAACCTAGATTTTCCTTTCGTTCTTTAGGTAGAATATCATAGTTTTTTGTGGATTTGATATCTCGAGAAGAAATCACTCGTTTTGATTGAAATTTTCAGAAAACTCTAATGATTTTAACAGCTATCTATCAATAAAGTTTTTGACAAAAACTCATTTATCCGATATTTTTTTATACAAACCGTGCCAAAGGTAAAAACATTCAGTGTAATGAGCAGAACTCCAAAACGGCAGCACATGGACAAGAATGCTTCTAGTCTTTTTATAGTCTCAACAGATCCTACGTAATAACTTGAGTCTTATCTCTAACGCGAGGTATCACCCAGGGTGGTTCCTTCGTAAACCTTTCTCGAATGAGAACATTGCACTCGAGAATTTCGATAAGCCTTCTATAGATTCGAATTCTTGCTCCCTGATAACCTTTAGTCTATTTTGATATAATTCAGCTGTTTTCTTGAAATGACTTCCTCGATCTAAAGAATCGAAAGCAATCAACAATCACCATAGTTTTATATGTTCGTCGTTACTCTCTACATATATGTTTAGACCATTTCAACCCTACAGCGTAAAGTAACTTTTGAAATTGCAAAAAATTATCCGTCTGCGACTGGTACATCATTAGTTTGCTTTTTTATAGATTCTAAAAATAAAACTTAATTATATTGACTATTGCTTCACTTTCTTATACATTAAAAACTTATGTAAAAATAAGTGGAATTAATAGGATGTTACGCTGGTTTTGTATGTCCAACAGTAATAACATGTTTTTTTCGAAATAACTGCTCATTTACAAAGCTATTATGCTTATGTTTATAAGACAGCTATATGAAGAAGTATCAATGTGTCTATAAATAGATATTCTTACAATAAATATCATAATTTATTGCATGCTGAGTACATGTTTTTCTTCTTGAATCAGTTGTCTATGTGTCATTGAGTCTATTGCAGAGCATATTAGATAATTAGTACGAAAAAGAAATGAAATATATTTATTTTTTATTAAATTCATTAAACTAAAGTAAAAATACAGTACAAGAACAAGTTTTTCTCGAGTGTTATATATCTTCTTAGCAGAAAAATTATTTTTTTATGTTAATCAATTATTTGAGTAATTTGTTAGTATCTTATAATATAATGATTTCTAATTATCTATTGGTTTTACAAGAAAAACAATAATCTAATGATTGAGTAACCTTTAGTCGTTTCTTATCAAGGGGTAAAGAGCGCAATTTCAGGGTTGTAGTGATAAAGAACACCTATCGCCTGATATAAGAAAATTTGCATTTTCTCCCAGTAAAAATCGTTCTTTTTGTTCGAAAAAAACAATATTTGCATTTTTATACTCTTAAAAAATTGAATATGTAATTTTTCAAGTCTGAAAAAAATTTTCTTTCACTCGCTTCCAAATAATTTTCTTCTTTATAAAGATGCGTACTTGTACGTACTTTTTCGTACTTCTAAACATTTATACATTAAGCAAATAAAAGAAAGATATAGAATCTTTCGTGACAGTTGCATTATAAGATTTTGAATTAAAAAAGGGTACAGAAAAATACATTGCAGCACAAATGTATGAGCTGTCCTGTTATCTTTCATTTCTAGTCGTAAAAATCCAGATAATTGAAATTAATTGTGTGATGTCTAAGATGTTGAGTAAATTAACAGTGATGAATCATAAAAAAAGCTGTTAAACTCAATGCTTTTCAACAGCAATTTTTATAAATTTCTCAAAAAAGGAAATACTGACAGTTTCCGAAACTACTTTTACTTGCGTAATCGCTGAAATTTCTACAATTACTAAACTTTTCGAGATATCTAATAGTCTAAAATTTTTTTCTATAACTCGTGATATGATTGATTCAAATATGAAAATGATACAAATTTCTGTTGTTTTGTTTCTTTTTTTTTCGGAAATCTGAACATACAACAGAGTATTTCATCAATATATCATCAAAAGAAACATTTCAAATTGAATATTAAATCATTTTTATTTTCAGTGCTCAAGGTTTTACAATTCTTGCTGTTCTTGCTTCTATTATGTACGCTGGTCAGAGTCGAGAACCCGCACCAACACCCGCACCAACACCTCCACCACCTGCTCAATCTTCTACATCATGAAAAACATTATTCTATTTTTCTTTCTTGCCATTTTTATCCTTCATCACATATAATAGATACGTATTTTTCTTGTAATAATACGAAAGAAAAAAACCAAATGATAGAACGTCTTTTTTTATGAAATATAAAAAGAAACGTCTAATATGATATCGTCATGTTATCTAATACAGAATAACAAAACCATACACACGAATAAGATTAGTAGTAACATAAAGATGATATGGGTGTTGTCTGTAATCATAACATTTTGTGCAAAAAACAAAAAGCCAAATAGACTAAACTGTACAAACAATGACAATTCGAGGAAAGAAAAACAAAACTAAGAACAACAATAAGACGACAACAAAAAGAGAGAAACTGTTCGTATTTATACGCATAAACCAAGAAGCAAATAGGACATATGAATGTATATGTGAAACTGATTTAGAATGTGCTTGAATTAAAGTTCGAATAAGAATATTGTTATCACCGGATAGAAAAAAAATTACAACCGGAAAAAAATGCTCATTTAAGAACATTTATTGGACGGATGCATATATTTAATATGTCGAATGTGAACAAATTGATGTGTCTAATATTATAATTCGTTTTGTAACCGTCGGGAATTTTTCATTGATGATGATGGCCATAAATGATGTAATGATTGTAAACGATTTTCTATGCGATATGCTAAATTAATTAAATAAAATGAATGCACTACTAAAATTATAATAAATATTAAAAGTATCAATGATGTTTTAATTGGGTAAGTTTTCAATCGATTAAATAATAACAACAAATATTCAATAATAAGTTTTATAATAGATATAACAGATAAAATAATTATTCGACTATATTTTCCTGCTAATCCATCATTATTTGAACTTATTATCAAAGAATCAGTATTCGTCATTGAACTTGTTGAAGAATTTGAAGTTAGAATATTTGATGATGTACGATTTGATGGTGATGATGTTCGATCACGACTACGGCTTCGACTAGTTCGTAATGGAATATTATGTGATTGACGAAATATTACAGGCCCATTACCTAAATAAGAAAGATAAAATTCATTTTCGTTTTACTTTAAAATACATTCGAAGATATTTTATTCTAGATAATTGTTGAAAATGTTTTTCTTTTCGAGGAGTACAGTTTAAAAACGAAGAGTAATAAAAGTGAATTTTATATCAATTGAACGTTCATCAAAAACAGGTTTAGCAGTGATTTATAGGATGATAATTTGCAAGAGAATCATGGAATATTTCAAAACTTTTGAAGGATATTTTTATATTTCTATGCGTAGTTCACCATAAACACTAACGATTCTCAGAAAATCTTCTCGTATATTAGACTTTGTGAGCACTATCTACACTCGTACTTTAAAAAAAAGATTATTTAACAAATAAAAGACGACGACAAAGTTAAAATACTGAAAAATCTCAAATAGATCTGTCGTACGTGCTATGACATTCTTCAGTATTTTGACCTTAATACCATCGCTAATCTGTTAAATTAAATATTTTTTTTTACTAAAATGATCTGCTCGGATAATTCCATAGCATTTAATGAACGAATGAGTTTTTCGAGAACCTATGATTTTTATGTCTGACTACAAGAGCTGATTAGTTCCAAGTTTGAAAATTTTCTATTAATCGAATACAAAAATTTTAGTTCCAACGGGTTCTACTGACTGCGTATAAGACACTATCATGTGATCAAACGATGAATCACATTGCCGTGAGTGTGCTAAACACTTAAAAAATTTTATTCAATAAACTTTTGACAGTATTTCTACTAATGACATAGTTAGTGTTTGCTTCTAGCAATATCCATCATCTAGAAATTGAAAATTCAATAGAAATTACAGCAGCATTTTACAATGAGAAACCTTGAAGCACTGTCATACACAATTCAATTAGTGAGAAGTAAAAATGACTGACGCATACAATCTCAAAATGAGTGCTCAAAACACTAAATTCCTTTTGATTACCTTAAATTTTCAATTTCTGGATGGTAATTAAATCTAGTTTAATGAAATTTTATGAAAACGCAAAGTTTTATGAAAAATTTTTTAAAAAGATTCTTTGAAATTGACTTTCTCGAATCTGTTTCAACATCATCTTTTGATCAGCTTTCTCTTATTAAGACTTAGAAAAGAATAAAAAGATAGAAAGAGAGAGAGAGATATATAATGCTCTGCAGCATAATCGTCAGTTAGTTTTAATAGATAAAATAGTTCACAAAAAAAATTGGACTTATCTATGAAGATATGTAAAAACTTCAAAATATGTTTATAAATCCGAACTTAGACTTTTCAATTTTCTAATATCTTAATGCAATTGACTATGATTAAATTAGTCTCGTTATTATATTAGTATTTGATCGAAATAGATTTAATTTAATTTAATGCAATTTTATATCTAAGGACCATTGATTTTGACTCGAGACTTGTTGTTCAACTCGATTCGGCTCATGCGTCGAGTGCAAACTGTGGAATGCATCCGATTACGCGCCTTCTGAACTCATCTCCATATTCTAACGACACTATAAATAGATGCTTTCTTTGTAATAAGAAAACTAACTTGTAAGACACGATTCTATCTTATCGCACACAGTAGATCATAGTAACACTAAAAGAGAAAATAGCTTCAAGGGTTTATGTTTATAAGTCTTCCGCATGGAATTACAAAAATGACACGAAGATTTATGGTGAAACAGTAATCATTTTACAAAGTAGAATTATGACTGAGAAACTATTTGAATCTATATTAATCTTATGAACACACAAACACACACTCTATATGATTATTAATGCAGAATAATAATTTATAAGATTATTTATTTAATTTAATTATATAAGAATAATAATCAATATAATGAATCCTTACTTAATGTTGTATCAGTTTCATTTTCTTGATTATTATTAATGCTTCGTGAATTTCTATTGAATTCATTTTTATCAGAATTATTTTCACTTAAAGTTTTTGTTAAAGTCTGATTTGTAATTGAATGTTTACATGATTTATTTTTATCAGAATTAAATAATTTTTTTGATTGTTTTAATTGTTGTTTAGTATCAGAATTTTTCGATGAAGTAGATGGTTGTCGTCGTTTATTATTATGATTATTTGGTATTGTTGGTGTATTTGTTGTTAAACACATCTGTAAAACGTCATCTGGTTCGGGTTCATCGACCATATTATAAGCCATATTACGTTTTAGTTTTTTGATTTTTTCATTATAATTACGATTACTATTTACAGCTTTTAATGTACCACCTTGTGTTGAATGATTGTCATCATCATCTTCTAATGAATTTGTATCATTATTAAAACGTGAACACATGGAAATAATTTTATCATATGCTTGATCACGTTGAAGAAAGGATGCATAAATAACCTTTTTTCCTGAATGTTTTAATTGTATACCAATAGCTGTTGGAAATATGAATGCAACACGTTCTTTTGTAACATTTTCAATTTGTTCCCAACGATAAACATGTTTTGTTACGTAAGATATAATACGTGAATGAAAACAAAGATAACGATCAGTTATATACATTTTACCTTGTAATAATATATCACCTAAGAAAATTATATAATAAAAACAAAAACAAGTTTATTTTTATATTGAGAAAATTTGTTTTTGTCTTACCTTGATATGCACATACATAAGAATCAATCAATTCCGGCATATCATCAGGTATTTCAGATTTAAATAATTTTTGAAAATGTTTTACACGTCGTGATAATTGTTCTTGTGAATTAATCTCATTTTTTTGTTGTCCACTATCACGTCTTGATAATGATTGTTGTTGATGCTGAATTTGGATTGGAACATTATTTAAATCTAATGAATTATTATTATCAATATATCGTTCTTCTTGTTCACTTTCTAAGTCACTATCAGTTGTTGTCGATGATACTGTTGTATTTGAATTTACTTGTGATGCAATTTGTTTTTCAGTAAATATTGCATTTTTAGCACCAGCACTATCAATTGATGACGAAGATGAGTTTGCATTAATGATATTATTTATTGGAATTTTTTGTTGATTCGATGAACGCATTGAAAGTGATTCTTTTTTTGACATAATATTTTTAGATCCATTTATAAGGGTTTCATCAGATATACTATTCGATGAAATTATCATTGATACAGGTCGACTATTGGCCATGTCAACGATATCTGTAATTAATAAAGAATAAATTAATAAAATTTTCTTTGTATTTATTTTTTATAAGAAACGCAGTTAATATTTATCGAATGAAAGTTGGACTGTTTTCTTTTTATAGGTTTTTTTTTATTCAAACGCCTACCTTTTCTTCTCGTATATAATCGCATATATACGCATACACAATATATAAATCTTAGGTGATCGAGTTTTGGATGTAAAAAGAAGTACTCTATTTTTTTTTCTATCGCTCAGTGAAAGTACACTCTTCATGCAAGCTGAATATAATATGAAGTGGAAAATTTTATACGAGGAAAAGGCAAAGAAATAATTAAGAAAATGGATGTGAATCGAGAAAAAAAGGATTTTACATTATTTATATGACGAATATTTTTTGGAGTCTTATTGAATCGATCTCAAAAAAAAATACTTCTATGCGTTCTGTTTTCTTGTGATTTTTCTTCGTTCTTGTTTTGGCACAATTGCAATACCGGTTCATAGTTTGTTTGTCATCATGACAACATAAACCACAATGTTAAAAACAATAATTATTTTTAAGAAGTCTTTGCAGTCAGAAGTATTGACGTCATTGTAAAAATCAGTACATGTGAGCACATACTTCATAAAATTTCACTGTTTCTCATAGATACGATGACGAAAAATAAGCAAAGAACAAAACAACTAACTGCTGATAATAAGTATTCATTAGAAACGTGATCATCGAGACTTTCAATTGTTGTCTAATACAAACCCGTAAGTATCACACCACCAATCAGCATTAAACAGCAAAGTCACCCCATACTATTCTTCTCTCTTCTTCTTCGTCTGCTTCTGCTTCGACGACTCAAAGCAGTGGAAGAGGAACATGCCTTATTTGCCTCCCGTCTCCATGCCGTTCTTTCATGTATACTCTCGCGCATGTTTTCTTTCTTTAGTGGCTGTGTTGCTGTGGGTCGAGCGAGCATCGGCTTAACAAAATATTCTTAGTGCAATGATCGATCAATAATAAGAACGAAAGAAAAAAAGAAAAAACTGACTCAATGAACACTGCGCAAAGAAGCAAGATGACATCTATGTTACTCTCCGTTTCGATTCTAATTAGTACTTAGACGATGATGATGTTAATGCCAGTGTAACGAAGGAGTAAGACGAGAAGAAAATTATATAATTCAATTTGTTCCCTTTTATTGAAACTATGCAACACCAAAAAGAAAAAAAAAATTCTTTTTGCGCTTCTTTGTCTTCCTAGAATAGCTAAATAATATTTTGTTAGTAATTGTAAAAAGCTTTTTTAATATATATGATACTTCTTTTTAAGAGTACTATTTAATGGTTATATGTGCGGAAAAAAGAATAAAAAATGAGATTTGTATCAGACTCAATTTTAAGAATGTTGTCACGGAACGATGTTATTATTTATTTACTTGCTTCGTCTATTTTTGAGAAAGTTTCCGAGTACAGAAAACAAAAAAAAAATAATTGGCCTAGAAAATAGAAAATATTTTTATATCAAATATTTTTTTTCCAGGTAACAAAAAAATGAAGGAGAATTTATCAACAAACTAAGAAAACTAAAAGAACATAATTTTTCTTACTCGTCAGTTAAATGATATGAAACGAGAATGGGTTGATGATGGCAAGGAACGATAGAAAAAGAATCGAACGATGTTATTCGACCCGTTTGACTGGTTGTTTAGTTGCCTTACTTGTAGACTCAATTCGTATAAGGATACAGATGATAATCGCTTGTTGCAGCTATTAATAGCAGATTCAATATGGTTGATGATATTATTCAAAGATGGACACATCTACAGATAAAGATAAAAAAATGAAATGAAAAATGAGTAGGTTCACGTAATACAAAGAAGGAGAAAAAAAAATCGAACAATAGATGATGATAAATAAACGAGATTGTCAAGTTAAACATACCATCGTTATGTAAATGTTCATTTGTCACCGATAGTGTGACAAAAGAACGAACAAGATAAAATAGCAAAGATTCATCTGTCAAATGAACCTATAGATGTTAATGCGCATAAAAATAGATGTCGTTCAATTGTTGATAAAAGTTCTTGTTATGCTTATTCTATTAAAGAATACTTCATTTATGTGATAAGCATCGTATGTCTATGCTGACATATTTCTCCTTCATGCTGATATAAAATTGAAATAAGAAAAATAATATCTATACTGGGTTGAATGTGATTTCATACTGAGTTTTAAAATAAATCAAGAAGATTTTTTTTTAGAAAAAAAGCAATCAAGTTAAGTATGTCTAAAAACCCATGCATATGTATCTTAGTTATTTTCACATGTTGTTGTCAGCATGACCTATATACGATAGTGAAAAACAATATAAAAATCAAAAATAAATCATCTAAAATTGTCAGACTTTTTGCCGATTGAATGATGTCAGAAGCTGAAAAAATAATTTCCGTAATGTAAACATTTACTTTTTGATTTTATTTTTTTCATAATTGTTTATGATAGAAACTTTGCGTTACTATGGATAATAGAAACATAAAAATGCAAAAAAAAACATCACTCAGGAAATAGAACAACAAGAGGTATATACATGTATTTCAAATATGAATTCATCTTGCATGCCAACAAATATTGACAACCAACAATGAAACAATGTTGTGTTCAAATAATGTTGTGCGCTAATAAATGAGAAAATAAATCAAATTAGCTCAATAGACTAAATTGGAAGTCGATTGTTAGCAGAAATAAAATGACACAGGCTGAAAATAATAAAATACCCATCCAGTTGCATACGGAATTGTTTATAAAATACACTATATCAGTTTTTTTTTGCGAAGAATTTTCTATCCATTTGATAGATTACAAAATCTTGCTCAATAATGACAATTTATTTTGTTGATGTAATACAGGTAAAAAATACGTAGCGCTTAATCAATTATAATTGCTACTACTATAAATTGATCTCGTTTGAAACTTTTGAAAATTTTTATTTGATTAAATTTTCTGGAATCTATCTGTTGTTCATTCAACCAATAACATCAGAACGAAAGTATGACACTGAAGTAATCAAGATGATGATTACACATTTCTTTAATGAATAAAAACCGTACACTGTCGTTTTAAATAGTTTGTGGTTGTTAACGATTGGGTTCGCCCGATCCGATGAAGGACTTCGAGCTAATTTCAAAATTTTAAAATATAATATAAAATTGGTACACTTTTTTTGTTCCATAGAGTTCAGGAAACCAAGGCTCCGATATTTAGCTGAAGGGAATTTCCGTTCTTTTCAGGGTCACTGATAATAAAAAGCTTCTTTCTATTTGAGCTCCAATATATATAGAACGTACTAAACTAAAACCGAATCCATTTCTTTTGAAAACCAGAAGTATTCTACGAAATTCACAAGTTATATATAACATTGTAGCTTAGCGGACCCTGACATACTATCAAGGCAAGAATCGATATGATTGGTTATCGTGCTACTGTTGTTTTTATCATCTTCTTTGTTTGAAGGTAGGTATCTTACATCTGACAATATTCAAGCTAGCCGGATAAGCAATCCAATTACTCCAAATCTTCCACCAATGATCACGTGAGCAAAAAATACCGCGAGCCATCCATAGAATATCAACATAATATCCCTCACAATAAGCATAAAACGAACCCAACTACACTACAGTTATTATTACCAACAGTGCCACTAAAAGAAATTTAGCTAACTTCTGAAAGGCATCAATTCTCAGGACACACCTCGTTAATGAAAACAATGATATTCACATCTTCAAGAACTCCGTCTAAGACCCTCACAAATTGATATATGTCTTCATATTACTAATACCAACATCAAAAGAAGGAAAATTTGTGCTGACTTTTTAATAGCATTAATCGATGTAGTGGGTTCAGTTGTTGAGGAAAATGATGTGCACACCTTTAAACACCCCGTCTAAGATTCGCACAAAGTTATATACATTGTAGTATTACTAATACAAACATCAGCGCAGAAGAATTTTGCGAATTGTTCGGTACATGCCAAAAAGTGGCCACAAATGTATTTGAGATGATGTGACATCTTCTTGTTGTCAATATTTAAAATCAGATATTATGTATCATTTAGTGTACTCAGCAGTAGCTCTTTTGGTACGACAGTGATGTGTCTTGTGAGTTTTTCAGTGTCAAGACTCCTCGATGAAAGGTTTTTCTCTTAGAGAGCATGGCGTCTTGTTTTTCATTCAAAACTTGGGAATTCTTTATCGAAAAATGTCTGTCCCTTGATATTAGATGGAAAAGGCTTAATTATTCGACAATTAGTTAAGCAAATACATGTATTTTCTTACAGTGACTTGTTTTGATGAGAAGAACAAGTTCAGTTTGGAAAATCTTATTTGCAATTCTCTAATAGAAAATACAATTTTTCTATAAAATCATTTTCTCGAGTGTTAGACACATGTATCTTTAGTGATGACTTGTTGAAGAAAATCCCTGAATGAAAAGTCAAAATTTAAAAGTAAAGGAAACTTTTGATAAAGAATTTATTATCTCTAGAATACTACAGTTCCATTTGATATCTTTGGCAGTATTCCATAGCCTAATCAGTAATGAGCATATTCAAGGAAGTTTTACATATTTTTGGATTATCTTCAGATTATACACATCTTATATAGACATTGATTGGCGCAGCAGGTAGCAGTATGTCAGAGGATGGATGTGGTTGTAATCGGAATAAGTACTAGAGAATATTCATTTACAGGCAGAACTGAGCAATGTTATTGAATTGATGAAATTCTGGAAAAGTTCTTTCATTCAATTCAATTCAAATCATAGATCTTACGAAATATTTTTTTAATTTCAGTTCAAATCAATCCGTAGATCTATGTAGTTAAAATAAAATTATAGATTCGAACAATTTTTTCCGAATTCGACTCAATGTAATGTCATTGATTCGAAAAAATTTCGTTAATTCAATTCATCTGAAGCCATGAATTGAATAAAATTGAGTTGGTTGTTTTTTAATTGAGTGATACAAATGTGATTTAGAGAAATTCAGCAAATGATGTAGCACAAATTGACACGTAANAAAACGTTTCTCATGTACAAGTTTGACTTTAAATAATAAAAAAAAACAATCAGAGCTTATACAATATCGCTCATAACTATGATTAGGTTCATTAGCTTGAGAATTAAAATTACTCAATTAAATTCTTTATTAGCAAAATTTTTCCTTTTATACTTTCACTTGAGTTTGATATAAATGGTGAGATTTACATTTAAATAGAGGCGCCACATATGCTCACAGAAGAACAATCCAATAAACGCCAAGCATGATTTGACTGACTGATTGACAAATAAGGTTGTTGTCCCACGAGAAATTTTATTGGTTGATGATTATGTTACGAAATGTAAAAAGCAGACTACGAGAAAAAAATTTTTTTTGAAATACTTTTATTATTTTTTTTTCAGACCACTATGTCGATAATCATTAATAAAAATGAGATTTCATCAAATTGGAAAACTTTAGCTGTATGATTTTTAGATTAGTTTATTTATTTTTTTAATTATTTTATATTTATTTAGACAACACTACCTGTCAGTACGAACAAAAAGAAAAAAATTGAAATACCAGAAAGTCCAATACGACCACCAAGGTAAATTTTTTTTATTAGATTTATTTTCAATAATTCTTTTTAATTTTATGAATAAATTAGATTAACAAAAGCCGTATGTCTAGATTGTGAAATGGTTGGTATTGGTGAAATGGGTCTTGACAATATGCTTGCTCGTATATCAATTGTTAATCAACTTGGTCAATGTCTTTATGATAAATATGTTAAAGCAACGGAACCTGTTGTTGATTATCGAACATCAATTAGTGGTGTTACAGAGCAACATCTTCAGAATGGTTTTATTTTATATTTATTTTAATCATTTAAAAATTCTGTTTTAATATTATTTAGGAATTCCTCTTGATGTTGTTCAAAAAGAAGTGTCAGATATAATTGAACATCGAACACTTGTTGGTCATGCTATACATAATGATCTTCAAGTAAACATTTAACAATAAAAATAAATATTAAGCACAAAAAAAAATGAATTTGTTTTTTTCTTGTTAAGGTTTTATTTTTAAGTCATCCGAAACGACGTATTCGAGATACACAACGTTATAAAGGTTTCCGATCTTTATTTAATGGTGGTTTACCATCATTAAGATCACTTGCTGATAAAGTACTTGGATTGAAAATTCAAACTGGTGCACATGATTCTGTAAGTTTAAAAAACAATTTTTTTTTGGTATATAAAAAGAAAACATACTTTAAAATGTATAAAATTTTAGGTAGAAGATGCTCGAATCACAATGCAATTATATGTTCAACATCGTCGTGAATGGGAAAAATCCTTACGTGAAAATAAGTCTTTAACTAGTGAAGAAAAACATAAACGTATACGTGCTCGTCAAAAACAGAAACAGTTACAAAATTCTTCTTCTCGTGTTAAAAAAAGAAATAATCTAATTTAAAACATGTGATTATATATACATGTTTTTTTGTTATGTTTTAGATAAATTATAAATTTTTAGTTGACTCTTATGACAAATATTACACAATAATATAAGACATATTTAATGAAATCTCAGGTATGTCGATATTATAACTGGTTACAAATTCATATTTCATAAACTTTTCATAAACTAGATATAATCGACTCATTGCATACGTTGTTTCAGAGATTATTATACGAGGGATCATAAATAGTACTATGATAGAAAATTGAAATATCTCTATTCTGGTTTGCTAGAATGAGCTGATTTTTTGGTTAGTTGTAGAAATGCATTTAAAGTTTTTTTGTTTTTATGCGAATAAGGTGAATAAATATTATTGTCAAGTAAGAAAAATATATTTGAAGTGTTCCATAGATAGTTGTCAGTTGTCATTTAACGAGGGAACCCATCCGACGGATAATCTTCGTTTGAATTTATATTTTGCTCATGGATAGGACTCATAGTATAGATAAAAATTCTCGAAAATTTTTAGCTTGAATAGATAATTTCTTAAGATATCATATGCTAAAAAATTGCGCTATTTTGGGAGCTTTTGTGTGAAAGTAATGCTTTTTTCAAACATGTTATCACAGAAGGAAAATATCCGTTTGAGCTGAAACTTTCAGGATATTCTAAGGACCATGAGAGCTATCGATGGAGAGAATTTTAGACAGAATCTCTTTGTTGTAACCTTTTTTTCTTCTAATTTCCTGCAATAGACTGAAGATTCAGTAAAATGATCAAAGTTCGAGAAGAGACCTTTAATGGTACGTACTCATTCAGAATTTTTATCTATATCAGCAAAATAAGAGCTCCAACAGAGATTATTAGTCGAATGGATTCCTTCATAAGACAATAAGAAGAAGAAAACAAAATGAACTTTATGAATGATATTTTTTTGATGCAAATAGAGCAACTTTTCAAAAATACTAGTTGGTTTAGACGCTGAAATTCATGCCCCATAAATAAAACGCACCATTGCAGCCTTGTGGGTACCAATCTTGTTGCAAAAATTAATATTTTACATTTGAAAATTTCCTCTATATGGATTAATACAGTATAATCCATAAAGTTCATTTTGATTTCTTATTTTCATCCTAGATGAAAACTTAAAATTATTTATGAAATGCTACACTTCTATTCTTCTTACTTGATAACAGGTAAAATTGCTTTTGTGCTAGTAACAATTAATATATAATAGCATTATTTTCTTACCTCATCCGTATGAAAAAAAAGATTTTAACTAAACTTCCACTACTAACCCGAGAACCAATCCATTTGATAGAATCGATGCAGAAATATTTCTTTTTTTAGCGTAGTGCAATTTATAATCCATTCTGTATATTATTTGGAATTGATTTGATAAAGAATTTTTTATTCTAAAGTTTACAAAATTTCTTCGTTGTATTAAAATAGATTAATGGGTCATTATTTCATCGTTTAATTTTAACAAAAACAGAAAAATTAATGATAAATATTTGATATGAAACCCACTGAAATTAAATATTTGTTCCCAATATTCTCCTAAAAATTTTACTAAATAATGCTTCATAACGCATTCGAGTTCTATAGAACAATTAGAAAAGAAATGTTAGGAAAACTCTCTACAAAAAGTATAGTGCGCCTCAACTGATTTTTCACCCTTTATTTTTCTTGCTTAAGACAACTGTCGTTTGATTTGATATATTTACCGAGAAAGTACAGACTTCACTGCATCGCTGAATATATTAATCATGAATAACATATAACTCTCAGAGCACAAATAATACGTCAGAAAAAAAGATAATATATTTTTTTTATTACGATCTTCAATAAGAGGAAATTGAGTTTTTGTCTCATTTTTTTTTTTATGACGCCTAAACATATATAGCTTCAATGATTGTTTGAGTATTCAATAGTTCATTTGTATTAATCTCTTTATCTAAATAAATATTTTGACGACAGTTGAAATAATATTTGTTTATACATACAAAAAAAAAAATAATGGAGAGACAAAAATTCGATTTATTCTTATTACACATCGTAGTAAAAAAATATACCATATATTTTTTTCTAATGTGTTTTTGTTCTCTAAATTTTATGTTTCATTCATGATTAGTGGTGCAATGAAGTGTAAATTTTATTGTTACATATCAATTATCAAATTGCAGCAGTCTTGAGTAAGAAAAACAATGATGGAAATTGAATTGAGGCGCATTGTACACTACTTTTAGTATCAAGCTTAATGAAATAAATTAGTGAAAGTCTGCAGAAAAACAAGAAATTGCAGTCAATCGATAATGTAAATATCATTGAATAAGAACTATTGCATTTAATCAACTGAGAATTAAGTTCGACAATAGCTTTTCATCATCTTCAAAATATAACACAAAACTAGTAGATATTATTTAGCTATATTGACTGTAGAGATTTGGCCTAAACAAAGACATTTGTTCTACCCTTTAATAAGGCAGAAACTTCATTAAAATCTTTTTTGCTTTCTATAATGATTTCTATGCATAGATTTTGCAAATATTTGCTATTCAATTAAACTTTTGATTGCAATAATGTTTATGAATTCTCAATGATATCATCAATTTGTTTCTATCAATTCAAGTCAGGTATTTATTTGAATATTTAAAATCTTATTGAATATGAAATATTTTGCGTTGCTATTGTCTTTATTTTAATACGAAACAAAATAGTTGTTCAATTAAAGTTTGATTAATATTTTTTTCCCAACAAATCGTTGAGTAAGATTTTTCCATTGATTTAATATTCTTTGATGGATTATTTCCATAAAATGACAAAAAAGAAGAAATAACAATTCTGCAATTTCAACAAAACTTATTAAACTAATACCAATCCAAAGTCCTAAACACAAAAAAAACAATATTTGAAACATGTAGAGAAATTAATATTAAAACTAAACTTACCTGCTTGTCCACCAATACTTGATATAACATCAACCCATGTATACATTGGTGATTCAGCTAGAATTTCTGTTGCAAATGGACTTGCTGATATTTCAACAGCAACAATATTATCAAGTAAAGCTCCTTTACGATTATTTGAACACGCTGATGTATTTAAATGAACTACTGACTTTCCAGTAGCTCTTAAATGTGTTTCTACACGTTGTAAAACTTTGTCTGTTGAACGTGTATTTGGATAATCAGCATATGATGATTGAATTTTATATTGAATAAGTTCACATTCAGGTAAACATTCTGGACAATATTTTCTTGAATCTCAAAAGACAAAAAAGAAATGAATAATTTAATTGAGTAAATATGTTTCTTTTTTGTAATTACTTACTAAAAAGATTACGATATGCAAGACACTTATTATTAATTGAACATGAACTATTTGTATTGATCTTTGATGTATAATTTTGAGAAAAAAATTGAAAAAATACCATAACTAATTGATCTGTACAATGACATAGTTTTTCAATAAAACGAAATTCACATAATTTAAAACATAATGCTTGAGAATATCGTACATTATTTGAATTAAATGTTCGTTTCATATCAATAGTTAATTCATTTCGACATTGTTGAGAAAATGATATAATACGTTGAGAAAAAATAAGTTTTGTAAATGTTGTTGGTGCTAAAAAAAGACTTGTTTGAGATAATATAGGTATTTGATGTTTACGATGAATAAATAGACGAATTGCTGCTCGATCATCAAGATATCGAATATATTCATTTTGATAGAGATATAATTCAAGAAATAATTTATAACCATCTTCAACATCATCGTCATCAATTGACCAAAAATTGAATGTATTATTTGGTCGTGTAGGTTCAACATGAATGTCATTATTAAATGTATAACAATTTCCATAATTTGGATGAAAAAAAGATGTGAAATTTCGATAACATGATCGTCCATTAAATGTACATTGAATAAGAAGATCACCTAATTTATAACCTGATTCAATTATTGTTGGTCGTTTATTATCAAGATTTTTAGCAAGAAGTCTACCCATATATTCCATAAATCGAACTTGATACTCGCTATCTGTATATAATGGACGTGAACTGGAACCTGGCTGCTGATGTATATCATCGTCAAGAAAGCTCTCGTTTCGAAGAGGATTAAGATTACCTTAAATATAGAATAATTCTTATTTCATTTTTAGAATTAAATATTTTTCTTACAAAAAGTAACTGCTGGAAAATTCAACGGATCACGATATTGCCTTACACTTAGATTAATTTTTGTTGGATTACCAATATATTTCAAAATAACCGTATAAATAAAAACACACATTAATGTCGTAAATGCTAGAAAAGTTGTTGACCAAAAAATACGTTCCAATATAGAAGTAGCAAGACTAATTCGTCGAATGCCATGTGTTGGAGAATTTAAAAACCAACTCTTTATTATAGTCAATGCACTTTTTTCTTTTTCAGATATTCTTTCCGACGATGCAGTCATATTGATAATAAATGAATAAAAAACACATAAATTCTTTAGCTTTTATTATGTTTTTTTTTATTCATCAATCTTCATCACTCTGTGTATTTTTTATTATTATTAAAGTAATCAGAAAAAAACAGTAAGAATTTCTCTTTGTAGATTTTTAATTTATCATAAAAATAGAACAACAGAAAAATATGCCTGGAGCTCACTTTGAAGCACCACTTGTTGTTGATAATAGAGATGGTTGGGGCCCGACAGATGACACATTTCAATATAAAGACATGCCTTATCAACCTTATTCCAAAAGTGATCAATTAGGCAAAGTATGACATTCATATTTATTTTATTTATTTTTATTTTCAAATATATCTTAGGTTGCTGATTGGACAGGCACAGTCTATGGTGATAAACGAATTAATAGTAAAATAAAACAACTAAAAAAAAAATTAAATTTCATGTAAAAAAATTCTTTTTTTAGCGCGATATCGATCACAATTTGGTGTTGGTGTTGGAGTGTATCAATATATTCATGAAGATGATGAAAATACATTTCAACTTGTTGATTCTACTCGTTTACCTAAACCAGCTTATCAAAAACGAACACGTTTTCAACAAAATGTAAAACAAATATAAGACGTGGGGCTAAAAGTTTCTAGACAAAATATCATTTGACTACTTTTTTGCATTTTTAAATGCATTCGAAAAGAGTAAGAAGTATAATGACGGATAAAAGTTTACAGCATTCGTATTTTTGAGTTTTCTTTTCGATAGTAACAGCTAGAAACAGTCTAAACAATCATGTGAGTAGCTAAAAGGATTCTCTAATAAGATCTCTCGATCTAAAAACTCCAATCAAATTGTATTACGACGCTTGAGAAATCAAGAGTTAAAAAACCAGTTTCCTTGCATCGATTTGAATTTTTTAAGAAATGACATTATTTCATAGAGCAAATAATTTTGACCAACATGTAATATCTCGACACTTTCCATGATTTTCATTCACTGAATTGTATTCAATTTACAGAAAACCTAATAAGCAAATTTTTGTGTTCATAAACAATTTGAATGATTTTAGTTGTGTTTGACACTTTGAAATCTTCTATAAATTGAATACAGTTCAATAAAGGAAGGTCATAAAGAAAGATGAGACGTCTCATTTTGCTCTCTCAAATAAAACCATTTCTAAAAAGCTTTAAATGGATGCTAGAAAACTATACCAGAATGAAACTTTTGCGTCTTGTCAGAATATATGCTTAGAATTTTCCTGTGACTTTTGCCTATTGAGTTATTAGCAAATCTTGAAAATACTCAAAGTGTTTTTTTTTTAAATAAAAAATCTCAAAAAGAGCTTGTTCGAGACATGCCACAAAAGTTCATCAGATATATTGAAAGATGCATATACAAAGTGATATATTTGAATCACGTTTTCTGCACATCATTAAGATATAGTAAACTCTTATAAAATTGATCGCAAGAAAAATGTCTGTTTTTCGACTTTCGTCTTTTCAGCACAAAATGACTCTTCGACATAACTCTACCAGCTTGTAGCGGATCCACCAAAGCTCTTCATTTTTGCGTCATTCTCTAAAGTAGAGATCACCTTTAAGTACTATATATTTATAGAACCTATTTGATGTCTACAGAAAGTAGATTTGTCTAGGGAAAAGTAAGATTTTTGCTACTGCAGGAAATATTTATTGAGTCCTGTCAAGATTTACTTTGAGCACACAAGTCACAGAAAAAAATTCTACGCATTTATTCTGAAAGAACACAAAACTCTCATTCTTTCACACTATCAATGCATTTCAATACGCAAAAAAATAGTGAAAGAGTTTCTCTAGAAATTTTCGATACACTCCTCAATGAAAAAAAAACACAATAGTAATAATTTTTATTTTAATAGCGTTTCCGTCAACAACAAATGCAAAATGGTCGTTTTGGTCAAATGCAAAAATCATTTGTTGGTACACAGAAAAAATCTAAGACTATGAAAAATCTAGAAATGTAATTATAGGAAATGCAAAATTTTATTTTTAAAATTTATATATAATAAATAGGGATCAAATGCGACAAATGCGTAAATGGCAAAAACAATATGGAAATCGAAATGATCCACGTCAGCATGTAAGAAAAAAAAAATGAAAAAACTCGAAACAAAAAGAAATATTCATCTTTATTTTAAAGCAACAAGCTAAACAACGTGAACCATCTGTACGTGTACGAGAAGATTGGCAAGTTATTGAAGAATTTTCATTTAGCAGTTTAGCTAAATTAAGTTTACCAACTGTTGGTGAACCTGAAGAATTGTAAATTAATTTTATTCATATAAAGACATGATTATCTATATTAATTACATAGGAGTGTTTGGGGTTCACTTGAATATTATGATAAACGCTATGATCGTATAACAACAAAAACTGAAAAGAAATTAACTATGGTCAATCGTTTAATACATAAAATTACAACAACAAAAGATCCAGTTATTCGACAGGTTTGGAAAAAACAAACAAAGAAAGATTTATTTTTAAAGCTTTTTTTTTTTATATAATTATTTTAGATTTGTAAAACACATGGAAATGTTTTTGCTACAGATGCTATTATTTCAACATTAATGTGTTGTACAAGATCTGTTTATCCATGGGATATTGTTGTTGATGTAAGTTTCTTATTTTGTTCGTTTTTTGTAATTAGTAAAATGAATTTGTTTTATTTATTATTAGAAATTAGGAAAACGTTTATTTTTTGATAAACGTGAAGATTCAACAATCGGTAAATTGAAAAAAAAGAAATTATTTTAGTTATAAATATCTCGTATTTTTTTATTTTCGTAGATGTGTTAACAATCAATGAAACAGCAAATGAACCACCTCCAGAAGATGGTACAATGGATTCAGCAAAAAGTTTAGGAATGGAAGCTGTATTCATTAATCATAACTTTGCACAACAAGTTCTTAAAATGGTACGTGAATAGTTATCTTTTTTTAGTAAAGAAATCGATTAGATTTCATTTTCTGAAACATGATCTAAAAGGAGTGTTGAAATGTAAAATGTAGAGACCTATGAAGTCACGCTCCTTTCATTCCGACTTTGAAGATTCTTTTTCTGTAAATTAGCAATAATTTAGATGTTCAGCGATAATATGTAATCTAAGGTCGTGTAAAAATGATAAAGTTACATTTGATGATGAAACTGGAGATACTGAATGGTGCTGATATTTGTTTTCTCAATAATCACTTGTGAAAGTTAATCCAATGTATATGTTTTCTTTTGCTTTTTCTCGGTACTTGCTTGTTATCTTCCCGACAAAATTTTTTAATTTTTGAATATTATCTTATCTTTTAGCTTACACACCCACACCCTTTGACTGGGCGATAACAAACAAGTACCTTTTTTTTTCTTCTATTGTATGTGATTTGACTATCGAATTGGCAGTTTGCGTTTACCGTACGTTATGATTGTCAAAAATAAATATTAAATAAGAAAATGATGAAATAGAATCTTTGGAGTTTCTACAATTTATATAAACTTCGTTTCCGAAAAAATTTATTTTAATGACATTGACGGAGTCAAGTTCCGGACTCTGATACAGGGCTCTGACATAGAGTACATATTTACATCTACCCTTCAGCGATGACAGATTGGATCTACAGACTGTCACAGACGTTGATATACGATCACGGGTCGTATATCAATAACATTTCATTATAATATATGAATTACTTCCTTATTGCATATCTAGGGGATTAACTTAAAAGATGGTGAAGAAATATGTCCAAAAATTGATAGAATAAAACAATCTTCTTATGATTAGCGCAGTGTTTTTGTTTAGATTTTTTCCTTCAAAGAAACGATTTTAAACTCTGAGAGGGTCAATCTTATCTTCAGAGAAGACCCTCTCGATCCTCACACTAAACAAAGAATTAGATAAACAACAGTAGCTACATTGTGTTTCATATTTTTGTCTTGCAAGGATTTTGTGCTAACAACTTTTTTTTTTTGCAGAATGAAGAACGTTATAAATTTCCAAATCCTAATCCATTTATTCAACCAGATGAAGAAAATGAAGCTGCATCTGTTGCTTATCGTTATCGTGCATGGAATTTAGGTAATAATCAAGTTATTGTTATTCGTTGTGAGCAAGATTGTGTTCAAACTGGACCAAATGGTGAAGATCAATTTGTCAACATAAAAGCACTGAATGAATGGAATCCAAAAGTATTTTAAATATATTTAATTAAAAAGAAAATAATTTTAAAATTTAATCGATAGGTTGGTGGTGGTCTTGATTGGAGAAGTAAATTAGATATGCAACGAGGTGCTGTTTTGGCATCTGAATTACGTAATAATGGATTTAAATTAGCTAAATGGACAACATGTGCCATTTTGGCTGGTTCAGATCAAATGAAATTTGGTTATGTATCACGACAAAATTTTAAAGATGCATCACGTCATACAATTCTTGGAATGCAAAATTTCAAACCACAAGAATTTGCTACACAAATGGCTTTGAATATGGATAATGGTTGGGGTATTGTACGAGGTAGATTTATTGTAAAAATTAAAAATAAAAATTAATTGAGATTTTGTTTGTTTTTTTAGCACTCGTTGATATCTTTACGAGCAAACCTGATGGACGTTATTTAATTACAAAAGATCCAATGAAGGTAAATATCTATATTTTGTTAGTGCACCATCAAGAATAGCACTATTATAGCATAGTATCTCTAGTTTTACTTTTTGGTTTTATACTAAAACTTCTAAATAAATCATATATTATAATCATTATAATTAGTTAATATCAATTTTAGAAGTAGAGATATAAGTAAAAAGTCTAGAAAAAAAGAACTATTAGTCGAATTCATCTGATAGTTTACTGGTAGTCATTAGTCCTCCAGACAAGACTACCTGAAGAAAAAATTTCACAAGGTGTAATAGAAAGTTATGGGTTGCCTAAAAGTTTTCTTTCGAAGTTTTAGTATCTAAGAGCCTGGCTTTTTCAGTAAAAACTAATTTTTTTTTTTATTAAAAGTCCTGTTTTTTCAGCACCTCGTTTGCTAAATATGTCTGTTTGAATACCAGAGAAATTTTTCCAAAATTCGTAATTTTCTAGGTAAATTTAGCAAAAAACTTAATACACAATAGAAAGTGACCATCGACGGAACTGTGAAAATTTTCATAATAGAAGACCATGGTCTTCTATTTTAGAGAAGAAGAATGTGACGGTACAACCGTCACTGATGTTCTGTCGTGATGCTTATTATGTATGCGCATTTGTTTCTCTCTATAATTTTCCTCCTTCTCCTGTTATCCGTGCTTTACATTTTGATGTTAATACATTTTCATTTTTCATTAGTTACATTTACTTTATCCATAATTCTCTCTTTATTCACTTTCACTCTCTTTCACATTTTCTACTTTCTCTTTCTGTTTATTCACTATATCCTTGAATCTTCCTTCACATTCAATTCTGATTTTCTTCCATTTTCGTCATTTGTTATCATTATCATTGTGGCACCTGGCATCTTCAATAGTTGCGTCTCATACAACATTCATGATGTAACAAATGACGTCCTTGGCAGAAGAGACGCTGTGAGTTCTATCTCTCTTCAGCATACTAATTATTCTTATTCCTACTTGCGCACATCATGCTTTAACTTACCAGCAGTGTCACATATACAAGATTTTGGAGATGCCACCACATCTCCTGCGGGAGATGCCGCATCTCGCGCGAGAGATGCGAGTGTGGGTGTGGGGGATGCGTCTCTCTAAAGGAGGTCTTACATCTCCAGTGGTGAATGACCACATCTCCCGAGTGTGGGTGCCGCGTCTCCCGCTGGAGATGCGGTGGCATCTCCAAAATCTTGGATATGTGACACTACTCCGTTTGACTATGTCAATAACACCAATCAACCACCTCTTCGTCAAACAACAGCAGTATCTGACTTCCATAAATTGTTTAATTCTCTTATCCACTGTGATACAGATGTTTTAATCACCTATTTATCTGTGATTGCCCGGCTCTTCAGAAGCCGATTATTTCAATCAAACAACGATGGCTAATAATTTCTTTGCTGTCCTCAACAATATACAAGACGCGATGCGATCAATTTCTGATCGTGTTGCTTGTGTTGAGCACTCAAAGGCTCCACAACTACTTGTCCGAGCGTCTTCTTCACATACAAATGAAAATAATCGGCTTACATTACAGCATGCCGCAGTATGTTCACAAATCAAAAACAATCAATTCATGTCACGTTTGACTCAACCACTAATATTGATGTCAACATAGCTATCAACATAGCATCCACTACTTCAATTCACACACATTTCAACTACTCAATTACCGTTTCCGTATCATTCATCATCAGCTTTCAGGCCAACTCGGAGGGATTTAGTCAATGTTTCTTTTTGACTTCGCATTGCATGATATGTGTGTTAATTTTTCATGAATTCAATAAGCGAAAAATTTATAGCTATCAGTTCCTTATGATGAAGGCGAAAATATTTTGAGATAAAATATGATTAAGTAGCTGTTCATCGTTCAACAGAAAAATTTAGTCAGTATCGTACTGTCAACTATAGAATAGAACTATTCTCATGTATGAGTATAACCAACATATCTTTCATCAAACTATACTATAGCATTCTGGTGATGCTGTTGAATTAATCAAATTACTTTGAAGAACCATCTTGAATCGATATTTTGAGCGCTTGATGACTGACAACATAATTCCACTTTCGTGAGATTTTTAGTAATTTTTCGCTATTTAGAAATAAAACAACTAAAAAGAAATAATAGTGCTATTCTTCTTCATACACTTATTACGTTTAAAATTACTTAAATTAATTTAATTTATTTCTTTTTTAGCCAGTTCTTCGAGTAAGACAAATTATTTTTCTTTAATATTTATTTAAAAATAAAATAAATTATTTTTTTTTTAAATAGATCTACAATATACCTGAGAATTCTTTTGATAGCGAAGAAGATGCTAGTGATGATGATAATCATCAGCAACAACAAAATCAACAACAAAAATAAAATTAAAAAAAATGACATTTCTATTGTTAATGTTATTTATGTTTTCGCCTATTAAAAAATCTTGCGAAAATAATATATAATACGAAAAAAAAACAAACATCAACTTCTATTTCTTTAATTACTGATTATTTTCATGCTGAGAAAAAAGATAATTTATAATTTTAGATTTGTAATGAGACATGAAATGCGTCAATAAATAGTAAACTGTATCCTTCTGTTACATAAAAGACATTTATCATGGCATTTGATATTGATGATGATTTACCGGATCGTGAAAGCGGTAAGATTAAAACTTAAACATTAAATAATCATTGTATCTTCTTGTGAAACACGATCTAAAAGAAATGTTGAAGTATAGAGATAGAAATTTAGATTTCCCAAAAACTTGACAAGCCTCATAGTAACGAGTCATCACAAACCACGGCAAATGTAATCATGGGAGCGTCAGAGACCATGAAAGACGAGGTTGGCAGACCGTCATAGACATCTTACGAGGGAACCGTTTCAAGTGATTCACGCCGATTTTGCTTATATTTTGCCCATATGTAGGGGTCAGTATGCTAAGAAAAAGCCTAAGAGGATTTAGGCCCATGTTGCTTCTTTCGAGGGTTATGGCCATTTTACTGATTTTTCGGCCTATGACAAGGTATTTACAAAAAATTCAAATGACGAAATTATGTCTTGAAATTTTGCCCNAAATTCCTTCTTTCGATTTGCCTCGAAGTACCTTGAATAGGGTAAAAAATTCAATAAAACGGTCATAATTCGAAAAGATAGACCTAGCAGCCCTTGTTCTTTTGGGCTTCTTCTAGACTCACTAACGCCTACATGATGCACATAGTCTTGACTCAAAAGCGATTTTACACTTACATATGTTACCTCGTAAGAGTATCCTATGAAATTTCCAACTCAAGAGTTTTTTTCTTTCATTTCTAGAAGAGAAAATAGCATTGAAATAGAATTTGATTTCTTTTATAGAAAGAGTCTAAATCTTAGCAAAAATCATATGCATTGAAACGAAGAAGAAATTCTTAATTATATTTTTTTAAACATATGAAAAAATGTTCTGCTATTCAAGATTCTTAGAATTGACAAAGATTTAGTCAGTAATCATAAAACATCTATCTAACGATAATAAGATCACAATTCAATGGTTTTCATCATCAATAAACTAATGTTGCCTCGTATCAACATTAAATAACTATTAGATATATAAATTTTATAATGAATTATAGTTATATCACGTTCGTCATCATGTCATTAACCAAGGAAATCCATTTTCTTTTTTTCTGAGTATTATTATTTCAATTGAAATCTTATGAATAAAGCTTATTTGAATTTACTTTATTCAACTAATTTTTATTTTACAATCATAGATAGACAAATGAAAATAAAATGACATTGTGACACACAAAAATAAGTGACAATACGATGAACTATATTTAACATCTAGGTTAGTTATGTTTCTCGAAGAAGGCTGTAGTTATTTAAATAATTACTCAAATTACGTGTTATTTGTAACAGTTATATTTGATGAAAAACGACGTAATATATTCTTTTGAAGTAATTGATTAAATTCACGTCTGAATAATGATGATGATAAAGTATAGACAAAAAATGTTAATGAGAATTCAAGATAAATAAAAAAATAAGTCATGTTGCTAATAAATGATTCAACTGATAAACGAAGAGATGATTTCGTATCATTTATTGTTATTGTTTGATAAAGAAGGTAACAAGGATTGAGAATGTTCAAAATAATCCAAAGACATATTTGATTCAATAACATTTTAGAAAATTGTAAATCTTTTCTTGACATTCCCGTAAAATGTCCATATCCAATAACATTAGCTGCTGATAATGGTCTTGTTGTTCGTTTGCTTTTTCGAATATTATTTACTGTGAGAAATCCAAAAATAAGCATCATCAATGGTGGAAATATTCCACTTTCAATCAATAGATAGACACTGAAGAAAATAGCATAAACACCATTTCTAAATGAGCAATTATCATCTTGAATTTCATAGAAAACAAGGACTTGAATGTTCATTAAACACCAAAATAAAAAACTACAAATAATTAATCGCATAGCGATTTTTGATGAACTCCATCGACGCCAATAAATATCAGAAGAACTAACAAAATAACGATCGACCGATGCCAAAATTATATAATAACGTGGAATAGCAACAGAAATATAGAAAAAATAATAGCGAAATTTACAATACCAAAGTAAAGTATTAACTATTTGAATATTGTAACCCATGTAAAGTATTCTTGTGAGAAGAGCAAAATTGAAAGTTAAAAATTGAGCAACACTAGAAGCTAGCAAATACATAACACATGGATTCTTACGAAGACTTCGTTGAGAAAAAATAAAACAATTAATAATTGATCCAAAATTTCCGATAAGCCAAATAAGACTCATAAGATATCTTGTGATATTCTGATTGAGAACAGTAATAATTGTATACCAATATGTCTCATTATCAGCGATAATAGAATCGGTGATGTTTGACATTTTCAATAAATATGTTTATAAAATCTTAATAAAAAACAGACCTCAAGCAAGTTGACTACAAAAATTTTTTTCTGATATTATCTTTGAAAAAAAAATTTTCTATTCTATAGAAAGAGAATTAATTTCATCCAAGAGGCACCAATATACTTTAGACAAGATGTGGAGCGTGATGAAATACGCAAAACATAAAGCCATTAGTTAAATGTCGCAATTTTAGTATAAGTAATGTATTTGTCAAGTTAGAGAGTAAGATAATTGATAATGAAAGAATAATTCCTATATTTGTATTTAACAACTGTTGCAAACAGCGGAAGTTTTTTCAACGGATTTGGAGCGTTATTACCGATAATTGTAAATAAAAATTTGATTTTGTGGAAAAAATACTTTTGAATTTAATTTTAACTAGATGTATGATACAATCATGTATGCAAATAATACATTTTAGTTCAACCAACAGATGAAATAGCTAAAGGGAATGGGCATTATTTATTCAATACATTCAGTCAGTTGGTATCTAGAATCTTGCTCATATTTTTTAAGAATAGTCACAAAAAAAACTACTGGCTATTCTGGTGAAAAACGTTGAGATTCAAGCCTAGTCAATGATTCCTTGTTAAGACATAGTTCAAATGTATAATTCAATTGCACCTATAATGAAGAGCATGACCATATCTATATAGTAAGAGGGTGACGGACATTTCGCACCAACTCATTCCGAACTCCAAACATGTGTCCGGGTGTTCGGAAATGATTTTTTGCCGTAACAAATATCCGACGGGAGTTCGTAATCCTTTTTGAACAGGAGATCGTAATCGAAAACGCAGGGAGATCGGAAAGGCGTTACTGCTAATTCGGAATGAAATGATCATTACTCTATGCGGAGTAATGTTTAAGAATCGGGATGAAAAAGGCGGGATGTTCGTGATTCAATTTACCAGGAGATCGCAACTGATTTATTCTGATATTCGCAACGGTCATAAAGAGTTTTCGTTTTTCTTATAAAGTCAAGAATAATTCATACAATACCTTCGTAATCATATAAACAACATCTACCTTTCTCTGTCTCTACGCATAACGCTATAATAACTGTACAAGATATTAGTGACTTTTGTGCTTTAACCTATTCATAATGTTGATAATTGATAACACTAATCTCTGGGGAAATGAAGTACTATATTATTAAAAGTCGCTACCTTCAAAAATTATTGGCTAGGCGAGTGACGGTGTAGGGGAGGGTGACGTCTTCTATTTACTTACCCTCACCCACGCTCACATTCCACATCCTCACTGTCACATCTTCATCCGTCATTTGTGTACTATCTTAGAATAAAAACTAGTAAATTATTTAACATATCTTAAAAAACAGCAAACACGAACACATTTTCGAACACCTTGTTTTTATTGTTACGATCTTCCATCATTTTGATCCCAAACTCGGGTCAAATTTCACGATTTTTCTCTCTAAAACTTAATATTCGTTGTTTGTTACGATCTTCTGAACAATTTTCATTACGAACACCCTGTTCTTTTTTATTTTTGATGAATTTTTATCATTCCGAACTCCCGTCCACTTAATTCCGAACACCCTGTCTTTTTTCTTATGTTTGGAGATCGTAACGAACATATGCTACTGGAGATCGTAATGAAAAGTTGGTGCGAAATGTCCCTTTCCCATAGTAAGAATGAATGTTTTTTATATTCTGAAACAGCATATGCATTGATGTACTGCTAATTCTAAGTACAATTATCAAAAGATCTTCCAGAAAATAATTATCCACTGTTAATTATTGTTTCAAGCTCTCTTCTGATAATTGCGCACATCGTACAATGTCTTTCTAATTCTATTTTGATTTATTCTAAAAATAACACTGAATGAGAAGAATAGAAGCAAATATATGTAGAATTAAAAAGTTTTATCAAATTAATCGCTCTAATTCTTTTAATTTTCAATACGTTTCAATGACGTGATAAATAACTCTACTTAAAAGCACAAATGGACTAATTTCATTAATTTTGTAAAATAATCGCGGAAATACGCATGACTTATCTATATGGTTTAAATGCAGAAAGAAAGAAGGGGAATGAGTACAAAATATTCTGAATTCCAATAAAACGAACAGTTCTATGGCTTGTTCTATGATCCTGTATGTCATTCAACTATCATCAAAGACACTTCAGCCAAACAATTAACAATGATATAAAAGTCAAAAAGTGCATTTTGGATTGTCTTTTTTACGAGGTTAAAAAGTATAATTCTTCATATTTAAAGCTAACATCAAATTATTTAAGTACAAAAGAAAAATAGACAATAATACAACCTATTAAATTGTTTTATTACATAAAGACTATATTAGATCCAAAAAGACATATTCTTCTAATCAGCTTATGTCAATAAGAGTCAAAATAAGATGAGCTTTTAACTACAAATAATCGAGTTTAATACAGCGATTTCAATTAGTTCTATCCATGTGTATGAATTTAATGCTAAATATATTCAATTATTTTCTTATAATTGAATCTATTCTTGTAAAATCATCTTGAGCAGCCATTGCCAAAACTCTTAGATATGGCACAGTTAAAAGTTCTGCTAAAATTTCATGCATTCTACTTGTATTATTATTTGAATCTAAAATATTTCATAATATCATCATGATTTTCTCCATTATTTTTGAAAAAAATCGAACATATTTATTTTGATTACGAAATGAAAGAAATATCTGCTATTCCTGATCATTGAGTTGTGTAAAATTTTGTATAATCATGTGGGCCTAAAGCAAAATAAGCCCATGATGTATTACACATGATTTAAGCTGCTGGAATATCAACAATAGGATTGTATTCTTTTCATGGTTAACTTGATTTTTCATATTCAATTTTATTTGTATTTACTGTTTTTATTTCCTTGAATAATAAAGTCTCTTTGATATTGACATATACTGTTTCTTCATCGTTTTGAAACTGATCAAGAGCGTAATTTTCTATCCATTCATACTCGATCATATTTCTCGTACTAAGATTTTGATCAACATCTACTAGTATATTGGAACGAACAGATGTTGCTGAAATTTTTGCAGCGATAATACTACGTGCTATAGTATTATATGTTGTAGAATCTATGAATGATTGGTCACTACAGTAGAAGCTGACTGCTTTTGAACATTCAGATACATCATGTATTGTCGATTGGAAATAGTCATGTATGCAATAAAGTATGCTAATTTTACTGATATACACCTAATATTGTTTACGTGATCATGGCTCATTCTCTTTCTTTTCTAACCTGCACTGAAATTTTTCTAACGTCTTTCTTTTTTCAAAAAAGTAATCCCGTTCTGAAAGGGTCAACAAGGATAGTGACGGAAATTCGTTTTACTTCATCTCAGATTGAAACGGATAAGCACAATCTTTAGGTACTAATCGATGTAATTTTTCTGTCGATATTGTCTTATTAACTTGTTCCTTTAAAGGGAATCAGTATTAAATCACTTTTTCACATTCCACAGATGAAGAATGCTAAGGCTCATCGTACTGAACACAACGAACCAGGTTTGAACAATTATAAGTGTGATTTTCTGTAAGATTATGAAGACAGATAAGACAAGGAATTTGCTTCTGCCTGCATTTAATTCGCATATGGCCTAAACAGTAGCATCAACTACTGTCGATATAACTGATATTGAATACACCTGACGTTTTCGCTTGATTGGAGTTTCTGCTCAATCTTCTCTTTGACATATTTGTCGCTGTACTGAAGGAGCAGATCAGGAATAACATGAACAGAAGTATTAGAAAACGATTTCGGCAATTTCGAAGATCTCTCAATTAATGATTTTGAAGAGTTATTTATCAATCGATGTTAATGTTCCTTAGGACTCTTGCTTGTTTACTCCAAATTGTAATTTATTATCTCTGTGACAGACATATGAGAATGTGACCGAGATATTTTTGTTATTGGCAGTGATCTTCTATGCTGCTGAGACTAATTCTATTGTGCATTATCATTCGATTGGATTCAAAGAATGAAAGGAAATATCTTCGACTTCATTGAGAAAAAACGAAGATTTTTCATGATGGAAAAGAGTAACATCATCTACAATACTCTTTGATTGAACTAGTTCGTGCATCAATCGAATATCTCTTTTAGCCTTCCTATTATGATTTCTAATACCCATTGTGTGAAATTAATCCACAGTTTTTAGAAGATCTTTTAGTTGTAGAATGCGATCTGTACTAAAACACCAGAGTTTATATCAAATCTGAATGTGACTTTTGTATTTTCAAAAAACAAAAGAATAAATACGATTATGCACTAAATCTTGTGAAATGACTTATATATTTTTCAAATACTATAACACAAAATATTGTAGATGTCGTAAGTTGCGACAATTCATATCTCATTTTTCCTATTGGCGTAAACATTTGACTTATAGTAGAAGACAAAAATTTGTAAATGTGGAGTGGAGGTTCTTTCCATCCGTCGATTATTTTTTTCTTTTTGCTTAATGATGGATTGTGTGGATCTCTTTCATCTTATTTTCTTACAATATTAATTTTTGTAATACTTGATTTGATTTGATTAGATTTTTTCTTTTAAGATTAATATCATTATCTCGTCAGTACCGTTGCTACAATGACAAATCCAAAAGGTTATCGTCGAGGTACCCGTCATTTATTTGCACGGGATTTCAAAAAAAATGGTCGTATTCCTTTGGCTACCTATATGAAAATTTACAAACGTGGTGACATTGTCGATATTAAAGTGTGTTTAATTATTGCTTGAATTTTTAAAACCAATATTTATATTCATGTTTTTCTTTAGGGCAATGGTGCTGTGCAAAAAGGTATGCCACATCGATTTTATCATGGAAAAACAGGTCGTGTTTTTAATGTAACTCGACATGCTGTTGGTATCATTGTCAACAAACGTGTTCGGTACGGTTTTTTTATATATTTAATTTGAAACATATTTAATTTATACTAATTTCAGTCATCGAATTATTGCTAAACGAATCAACGTTCGTGTTGAACATAGTATGTACTAGTTATTTTGTTTATTTGAAAAATATATTCAATTCATTTTGTAGTCAAACACTCAAAATGTCGTGCTGATTTTCTCAATCGTGTCAAACTCAGTGAACAATTGAAACGAGCAGCCAAAGAAACAGGCAAGAGTGTACCACTTGCTAGTATTAAACGACAGGTAATCTATTTATAGGTGCATATATTTTTGACTATTCTCATGTGAATTGATTTTTTTTAGCCACAAGGCCCACGTAAACAACATTTGGTACGCACTCAAGGCAACNAAATAATATTTTTCTATTCAGTTTTTCATGCTGATTCAGAATATGATACTTTCAAAATATTCACAAAATAACTGAAGTTGAAATTTAACAATTTCTACAGAAAAAAACCAATTCAACTTAAAAATTGTATTTTCTTAATCCTTCTAGTTTTTTAAGGTTCTCTCAGCCAAACAATGGTCAAATCGAAATAAAAAGTATATATTCGTGATCAGCTTTTCAAGCTCTATCAAATCATATACAAACGAACGAGAAAAAAAATTCACTCCAATTTTTGCATTTCGGCACCTTATTAATTTGGTTGTGAAATGCAATAGAACTTTAAAAAAGTCTGAAAATTATCTATATGGTATGGGCATAGTATCTATCGACATTATGTCAATTTGTAGAGTATGAAAAATTGCATCAATTTACACTATTAGTTTTCATATTGGGTTTATAATAGAAAAATGACGAATACCATAGTTATTATTCGTAAAGTCCAAAAGTGATAGACTCGCCCTAAGACTATTTAGCCCACGACACTTTTTTCTGTGACTTCAGGAAAAACAAAAAAAATAAATAGACAGAAATTAGCATAATATCATATTCTATCTTTCTACTCTGTTGAAAGTGAGACCTAAGGGAAGTTGTAGGTTTACGATCTTATCCGGTGATGTCCTTTATAGGAGTTTATGATTTGGAATTAAAACAAATGAGTTTTTGTCGTGGTCATGATCAAGGAAAAAAATCACTAGATAAAAAAATTTCTTGTCATTGTATTAAAACAAGTGATCTTATATGTGATACAAAACGAAATATAGATCTATCTCAATCAATTGATAATAATGATAATGATGAAAATTGGATTATTCCAATAACAATAATAAATAATCAATCTGATTGTTGTTTAACGAAATGTTTGATGACAAAAAATCAAGAAATCATACATGTTAATATCAATTCATCTTCATCAATGGAAGAACAAAATAATGATAATGAACCATTAATAAAAAAACGTCGATGTTTATCATTAACATCCAATTGGTTTAAACTAAATATATGTTCAGGTGGACCATATCGAGTATTTTATTCATCAGATATGTTAGACAAATTAACACATGCTATTATTAAACAAGAATTAAATATATTTGATAGATTTAATTTAGAAAATGATATGTATGCATTAGCTATGGGTGGTTTTACATCTTTAGTTGATTATTTACGTTTACTTTTAAATGCTTATATTAATGAATTAGATGATGAACTTGTTTGGAAAGATATTGAAAGTAATATTATTCGAATTGGTACATTATTAGAATATGATAAACAATTATTTGATTTCTATCGAAATTTTGTTATTTTTTTTCATCAAAATTTATATCAACGAATTGGTTCAATATCAAATAATAATGAAGATGAATCAGTTGCACGAAGTCGTTTAAGATGTTTTTTATTGGTTATTCTAGGTAATTTCTACAAAGTTGATTTTTCACACATGAAATCAAATGTAATTTTTACCTAAATTTTTTAACCAAAGCTATAGATTCAAACTGAAAGATCTATAATACCGGATCCCAGTGGCTTCTATAATGGTTTTTATCGATTCATACCGAAGTCAGTTGAAGCCTGTTTCCACAACGGAAGACTTCGGTCTTCAATTGTGACCAATCTATTGTCATATTTTCTAATTAAAAAGTTTTTTGTTTTTTTGGAAAAGCAAACCGATTTTGCACATGAAACTAGTGTTTTTTAAGATTTTAAAAGTTCAGAAATAATACTATCCACAATCTTTTAAGATTTTCATCTCAAAATCTTAAAAACTACAGCAACTTCCGGGATTCATTCAGAATATTTCTATAAATCCCATTATATGTTATCATCAACTCAAAGATATTAGAATGAATGCAGATATCGAGTTGAGGATGAAGACGAACTCTTCAGCACTATAGTTCTCTTTTGATATAGTTAAAATGTATTATATATTATCAATAGATAAGTCTGATGGTTTAAATAAGTCTCAAAGAATAAATCACGGGAGCCTCTCTTTCTTTCGTGTCTAAAATTTTAAACGCCGATTTTGCTTGTTGTTTTTTTTCAGTAGTTTCTTTGAACTCTGACAAATTTTATTATATTCTGCAACTTCCGGGACTCAATTGAATTCAATAGGATCTATTTTTGCAAAATATGATCGAAAAGGAATGTTGAAATATAGACGTAGAAATATGAAACTCCTCCCATCCTCAGACGTGACAGCCATGTTCCAGAGGGCTCATTGTTGATATACGATCCTATGCCGTACATGAAATAACGTCTCATTATTATATATGAATTACTTCCTTAGTGTATTTCCGGAGAATTGAGTAAAAAGGATGGTGAAGAAATGTATCCCAAAATAGATAGAAAAAAAAAACAATCTTCTTATGATTAGCAACAGCAACTACATCATGTTTCTCATTTTAATCCTGTAGGGATTTCATCAGCGGCTCTTTTTTTATGCAAAGATTAATCTATAAATAAAAATATATCAGAATATTGTCATGTTGAGCTTTGTGAAATATAATTGTCAGCTTCGAGCCAAACTATCAGTCTTCTATTTTTTTTTCTTCAAATTACAAAAATGACAGTTAGTATGCTTCGTCAAAGTCTCTGATGACAGCTTCAGGATGCTTATCATTTGTATTCTTTTCTTATGAAAATCTTGCTGAAATCTTCTCGTTTATAATAACAGTAACTACGTGATGTTTCTTAATTTAACTCCAAAGTAATTTTTCTGTATGCTTTTACATGAAGTTCGAAATATATGTGTATATAGAACTATTTTATATATTATCCTTTAAAGGTACTATTGGTCATGATCCATCAATAATATCAAATGCTCGTGAACAATTACTCTTATATTTAAATGATTCATCCGTAACTGTTCTTTGGCCCATATGTGCAATAGTAGCTCATCATGCATCTGAAACTGATTTAAATAATTTATTTAAATTATGGGAACAATGTCCACGTCGTGATGATCGTCTTCGTTGTGCATATGGTTTATCATATGTTCAAGAACCATCACAAATAGAACGTGTATTAAATTTATTTGCAACAAATAATTCAACAACTAATAATACAATACGTTTACATGAACGTATTGAATGTTATAAAGGTTTTTGTTTAAGTAAACAAGGTCGATATTATTATCAACGATATATTGAAGATAATTGGTTATCATTAAGAACAAATTATAATGATGAATATCTTGAAGCACTTATACGTGAAACATTTGGTTATTTTTCATCCAAAGATGAAGCTATACGTATTGAAGAATTTTTTCTTTCATATGAAACATTTCATCAAAAATATAAAATAAATTTAAAAGAAACACCAGCAACACCGTGTACACGTATAGCTGTACATCTATGTTTAGATGATAATGAATTATTAACAATTAATAAAAATACTTTATCATCACCTATATATAATCATCATCGTTCAATTATTCCAGCTAAAGTTAAAGAAGTTGCTTCTATTATAGCTCATACAACACGTACACGTGCTGCTTTACTTGAACGTGATCATGATGATTTACTCTCATTTTTTCAATCAGATTCTTTGTCAATATCATCTCTTATTTCAAATGCATCAAGTCAGATTCTTTCAATTAATACAATAAATCTATCAAATGTAGTATCATCTTCTTCACCAACAACCACAATCAGTGGAAATAAACGAAAACGACGAGTTTCTTCACTAAACACTAGTGGTTCGTCTCCACCTGTACGTAATTTATTAGCATCGGATACGAGTGCTTAATATAGAAAAGTCAATTAATATTTCTTCAAGTCTGTGTATGCGTGCATGACAATTGTCACATACGTTCTCATTTTTTTTCTCTTTCTATGTCTATTCTCTCTTTTTACTTCGTGTTTTTTTTCTTTGGTGAATTTATGTGCTATGTGATTCTTCGTTATTATTATTATTTTTTTGTTTTTTTTTTTTCAAAACTGTATTTCTGTTAAAACGAAGATATTAATAAACGAAAACCGATACGAGTCTTTATATAACTATTAACAATGAAACTAACTTTTTCAATGATCATCTGAATGATTACCAATGTATTATTTTGTCAGTTTGTTTATGTCAAGAATATTAATGGAAATATGTTAGAAACAACTACGATTAGTTTCTCAAAATAGCTCTAAATTTAGATTAGATAGGCATATCGTATTGAATTGATTTGTCTAACAGATATAATGTAATAAAAACAAATGGGAATTACGATCGTACGATTTTCTATATTTAGTGATTTGTAAGTAAGAAAATACTTCAATAGATAGAAAATTGACTATGACCATAAACGTATATATGGTAGGTTAATGAAGGATGGTATTATTGCGTAAATCATTTTACAAGATATATATATATATAGATAAATTATTGATTAATATTTTCTATCGAAGGGGAAATAGTAGAAGTCCTTAATACAGATAAAAGTTCAATTCTATTAGTGAACCATATCAAAAGCATCACTGATTGAAAAAAGAAAAATAATTTAACGAACGAATAACTCAATGACTTCTAACAATAATTATTTCTTCCGTTTTTTTTTCATCAATATCTATGTCCGATGTGACATTATTTCTTGATATGAGATGAAGATACATCATTGACTGATATATGTTACAAAGCGAGAACTTTTCGTTCGTTCAATTAAATTTTTTGATTGCGAAAATCGATGCATATTTTTAGTTTTAGTAATGAATCATAAAGAACAGAACAAAAAAAAAAAAGAAACAACAATATATTAGATATGAGTCAATGTATTACTATTTACCTGGACAAAAATAAAATATTTATATTTTTTTTTTATTAAAAATAGTAGGTACCTTGAAACAGAGTTTAATTCTGTTTTTATTTTTCTTTCTTAAAATAGAATCAACTTGAAATGGAAGTAAAGCGAAAGTAATTAAACTTTGTGATCTAATGTCAACATATCTAGAAATAAATTAAAAAAAAAACAGAAACTGCATTTAGTGATAAGTACTATTGTGGGTTTTTTTTTTCGTATTAATCATTGAAAGCAATACTAAACTATGCAAAATGTTGCATTTTCTTTTTTTTCGAGCAATCATTCGACAATTGTATGGTATAAATATTTCGTTTTTTTTCTTTTTCTTGGCCTTTTGTGATCAGATTGTAGGTATAGAAGATTAAAGATATAATTATCTTTATATGCAACTATTTTCTTTGTTCTATTGTTGTATGTTAGTATATCATCAATCTCACATATGTATAATCCAACAACGTCATTTTTTGATTGACTATATGCTAAAAATATCAGTCATTCATTTTGCTTATAGGTACCTAGAAAAAGCTGTGTAAGGTTTTTAGGTTTGTTATTGTTGATTGAGATGTGAAGCGAAGAAAAAAAAAGAAGAGTAGATTTTGCTGCCTTTTCTCTCTCTCTCTCTCTCGATTTCTTGTTCTTATGATGTTTCTTTTGCCAGTAAAGAGCATCTTGCATATACAAATATGCTTCGAAAGAAAGCAAACATTTTGCATGAGTAGATGAAAAGTCTGAAGATAAATTTGCTTTCACTCAGTTGTTCTGTCTAATTTAAAAAATAAAGTTAATTGACTTGAGAATAGTATCAATATCTATTGACGAGGTTTCATAGATGTAAACATTATTTTCTTCCTTTATTATTTGTCAATTGGTGCATTTTCATGTCTTATTAGTTTCTTTTTTTGTCTATATCTATTAGATAAATCTTCAAATGAAATATGTAATAACAATAGAAACAAACTAAGAAGAATTATATTCATTATCATGCGACGACATTCACTAGATCCTGAGAGTATCCGAAAACATATTATTTCTGTATTCACTACATCATCACGGAAACGTCAAAACTCGGCAACCAATAATCAAAATAATCATGGCATATTCAATTTTGCTCGACGTACACGTCGTTATAGTGTGCCAAATAAAAAATATTTAGATGTATCTGATAACAATGCTGAACTTCACACGATTAATGAAGTAAGTGAATTGATTTTCATATTGATTTGCTTTTTGCATGCTTTGTTATTGCATTTGCGTATTGCCAGCACTGCTTGAAATTAATTTTTAATGTTTAGAATTGAAGAAAAAAGAAAATACACAAAACTCTTATTTTTTTTTCTTCTTTAAAAAAAGACTATTCAAATCCAATATGTTTTTATTGATTTTCTTTGAGTAACTATTGTGTCTATTATGATTATTGTTATTCTAGAGAAAAGAATGTTAGCCGTCTAAGGCTTGTATGTTAGTAAATGTGTGCAGAAACGAGAAAAAAAAAGTACAAAACACTATCTTGACACGGCGGATGTCTTGCCTGTTCTCGCTTACAATTTGTTATGACATGAGGAGAAAGTTCATTAACAAATTTGTCGATATTGATGATATGTTTTTTTCATGACATACAATGATATTTTGAGCAACTTTGGCATACTACCAACAAAGTATATTTCCTATCGAGTTCCGATCCAATGAAATTATCGTTTTCAGTCGATACCGCCTTAAGAATGATGGCGTCAACGGATAAAAAAAAAAGAAAAACAAGAAAAAATATAAAATAAATGAAAATTATCCTTAACACAAGTATTCGCTTTGAAAACATAGAAAAATATGTCATCGAAGAAAAACAGAAGTGTGCATTGTGCACAGAAAACATATATGCCATCGTTGAATGTATTTTAAAAAAAAGTTGTTGTCAAAGGCACACATAATTTTTTTTTGTATTTTTTTTGGTGCCTACATTCTTTTTCTTTTTGAGAAAAAAAAAGGGAGAGAAAGACAACAACGATGACAACGACGCCCGCAGACAAATTCTCTCGCTTTTTCAATGTGACGAAGAGTAACAGTATTCGCGTATAGAGATAAAGACACATAGAAAAAGCAAAAGAGAAAAAAAACGAGATGAAATTAACAGTTATTTCATAGTAAAACGAATGCATTCAACCTAGACAGCATTTTTTTGTCTATCTACATTTGGTCTTCATCATATTATAATAATTCAGATCATTTATTAAATATTTTATTAACAAATACTATTAAGTGGTTTAATAATGACATGTGATAGACGAAATACTGTATTTGCCCCTATAAATACATTAAATATAACGACAAATGATCGAATACGTCGGTACTCAATACCTGATAAACAAGATCTTGAAACAATTTATGAGGTAAATAAAAATCATCATTACAAAACAGAGGTTTTATTTTTTATTGATTATCATATGGTTGAATAATTATCTTGATTTAAATGATTAATAATATTCAGATAATCGTTGTTTTATTTTTATGAATACTTGACAAAAAGAAAATAGAACTTATTAATTGTTCAGCTAAGTAGAAAAAAAAAGAACAACAAAGATAACGAAATGAAAGTTAAATAAATAACACCAGGTTAAGAAGTAAAACAGGGTGTATATGTTTTTATTTGTAATAAATCATTTATTTGTCATGTAAATTTACAAACTACATTGGAAGAAAATAACGAAACTATCAATGATGGATTAGGTGTCAATTTTCTTTCGTGTAAATGAATTATTTAATAAAAGCAAAATTCTTTGTCACTGCTTGATATAAGACATGTAATTATTTGCATCGATCAGACAAAATTTTGTATCTGGAAAAAATTTATTCATTCGAGTAACATTTATGTTTTATTGTTATTCTCACTCGTAATTCACACAAAATAGAAGCAAAAAAAAACATCGATTTATTGAGTTATATTATATAGTAAAAAGAAATCTTATGACTAAGAAAAAAAAATAGATAAAACAAGGTTATCTTGTCTTTTAGGCTTATCAATGAATAGTTATCAACTTCATTTCTATGTTTAGTTAGATATTTTTATTAATATGCTTTTTTGGTAAATGTGAGAATAATGTTCTTAGTAAAATGAATTAGACGTAACTAATGTTTTGATAATAATTTTTTTTTTATTTTCTGAATATAATCAAGAAAAAATGAAGATAGATGATGCTATATTTGAAACACATCATTTAACATGCTTGTTAGTCATTTATTTTATACGAAAATTAAGTCTAATCAATTTTGACTTGTCGAACCTATGACTATGTATAATTTAAGGTCACTTTGATCTTACTCATTGTAGGTCTTGTTCAACCGCAATTTTTTTTTTCTTAATTGTATCTCGCTAGTCAGATTTATGCAGTTTCTGTTTGGTGAAACCATACGATAATGAGATTATTTTTATTTAATCGATTTTATTGATTCTTAAAAAAAATCTAGTTTTCTTTTCCTGCTGCTGATTATTTATCTCTTGTTTACTTTTTTTAATTAATACATGCGTGATTTTGTCGTATAACATAGATTTTGCCCTAAGCTGTTTGCTTTTTCTTAAGATTCCTATTGACATCTAGATGATTATTCTTCTATTACTAACGTAAAAACTAATTCCTAGAAGATAGACCAAAAATAACTAATTCTTAAAAACAACTGTGTTACTTCTTGTTAACTCTAAAAAAGAAACTTTTGTTTCATTTCTGAAGATCATTAACTGGTTTAGAGTTGAAATTGGTATAGAATATATGTGTTGAGATCTACCTGTATTGTATTCAAACGAGATAGATTTTTTTTTCATTTAATCAGTAGAATAAAAATTTTTATGTTCATGTTTTTTTTTTTGAAACATAAAATTATCTACTATTAAATATCTTCTTTTGAATGATCAATGAAAATTTATCATCGATAGTTTATCTATTATTTTACAGTCCAGAAATAAAGACAAGATATCATT